TTCTTTGAGAGTGTTGTTTATGTCCTTCTTAAAGTCCTCTATTATCATCATTAGAAGTGATTTTAAATCTGAATCTTGCTTTCCTGGTGATATGTGGAATTCAGGACTTTCTAGTGTGGGAGAACTAGGTTCTAATGATGCTAAGTACCCTGGGTTGCTGATGCTTATGTTCTTGCGCTTGCAATTCACCACCTGGATCCCCTTAGCGCTACCTGCCCTGTCTCTTACTGGAGCCTGTCTTTCCTATTATCTTGGTTGTTTCAGAACTGTGTGGGGTGGGTGTTACTACTAGGGTTAAAGCTGGGGCCCAAGATCTGCTTAGTGCTCGGGCCCAGACTGGAAGAAACCAGTGCTCTGGTTCCGGAGTGAATTCCTGGGTCCTAGTGGGTCCCAGTTACTCCCTGTTTGGGGGTGGGGCGGGGGCTGTGTGTTGCTGTCTCCTTTTCTAAGATACTGCCCGGGTTAGAGCTCCTGGGAGCCTAGCTTCCTCAGGGTTTTGTGAGATTGGGTGCAGAGCAGCCGCCTGGGATCTGCTCAGTGCTCAGGCCCAGTCCGGAAGGCATACAATTTTACTCTTAACATGCACCTAGGGTAACTGAAAACATGTGTCCATGTAAACTTGTATGTATGTAGTAGGATGGTTTTTAAAAAATCAAAAGGGAAGCTCTCATGTTGGTACAAAATTGGGTAGCAGAGGCAGGAGGACCAAGAAGTTCAAACTTATCTGCAACTAATTTTTTCTTTTTTTCATTTCAAGACAAGCCTGGGCTACATGAGACCCTATTTCAAAAAACCAATGTTGGGGTGAGAGCTTAGTCAATAAAAGGCTTGACTTGCAAGCATGGGGACTTGAGTTTCAACCTTAAATCCCAGCTTTTTTTTTTTTTTCCTTTAAAAGACAAGTGTAGTGGTAAACACTTGCAGTCTGGGTTTGGAGAACAAAGTGGAAAGAGGGAGATTTCTGGGGCTTGCTGGCCTTGTCTATATGAGGAGTTTCAGGACAGTAAGAGAACCTATCTAAAAAAGGAAAAGGGTAGATGGCAACTCAGGAACGACATCTAAGGTCGTTCTCTGATACACATGGATATGACACATGCACTCATACACATACTAATGCACACAAGCATAGATACCAAGAAAATCAAAACGTGGTGACATTTTCCTTATGAATGCATAGAATATGGTATATCCATCCATAGACTGTGATATTATTTGGCCCAATAAAATAAAGAAATACTGTTATAGGCAAAACCACAGATCAATTTGAAGAACGTAAGTAAAGAATTCCAATTACTAAAGGCTAGCTAGAGGGTGAGCCAGCTCCTACAAAGCCCCTGGGTTAGGTGTATCTACAGTGACAGACAGTCCATGGCTGGTTCCATAGGGCTGGGAAGTTAAGGGCAGGGTTGGCTAGTGAGTGACTGCTAGTGAGATTTCTTTGGGGGAATAACAAAACACTCTAAAAATTACTTTATGACTGTGTGTTGGCTAGTTTTTGCCTACTTGACACAAATTAGAGGCACCTGTTGGTTTACAGGTTCAGAGGTTCAGTCCAGTATCATCAAGGCAGGAGCATGGCAACAGCCAGGAAGGCATGGTGCAGGAGGAGCTGAGAGTTCTACATCTTCATCTGAAGGCTGCTAGCAGAACACTGACTTTCAGGCAGCTAGGAGTAGGGGTTTAAAGCCCATTCTCACAGTGACACGCCTATTCCAACAAGGCCATACCTTTAAATAGTACCATTCCCTGGGCCAAGCATATGGAAACCATGACAGGAGGCTTAGAAGATCCTGGCCACGGAGCTAAAAGGATATTAAAAATAAGCTAATATGTGTGTGTGTCTTTTCATCTGTGGATCCAAGGGAAACTGGGTGGGGGCTGGTAGCTTGGTTCATATGGAGTTTAAAGCGGGGTAATAGAAACCACATGCTACAGATCTTTTTTTCTTTAATTTTATTTTTTAAATATTTGCACCGTTGAGACTGTAGGACCTCTGCCCTTTATTGTTCTGATCAAAGCACAGTTAGCTTTTGCAGAGACTGCTCTCTCTTATTTCCATGTTGTAGCCTCCATCAGTCCTGGTCTAACAGACGTGATCAGTGCTTTGCCACAGGAACAGACAGCAAGTTAACACAGACAATATAACTACAAATATAATTAAATATTTATTTATACACTTTAAAGGAGTGGTTTGGAGAAACCCTGTCTCAAAAAACAAAACAAATAAACAAACAAACAAAAAAGGAGTGGTTTGGGATATGTAAATTACATCTCAACACAGCTGAAAACATTGAAATTCTCTGTTTAGTTCTAAGGGACTTGTCTGAGGTATGAAGAGCTCATGGTTAACCTATACTTCTCCTAGGTTTTGGGAGACAGACTTTTATATACAATGGCAATCAAAATCTATTACCAGTCCTGATGTGAGCTCATCTGTATGAGACAGTATGCATGTGCCCTTGGGAGGGAGGATCATTTTTCCGAGGGCCCAGTGAGCATAGTTAATTTTTAATATCATCTGTTTGTATCTAGCATACTCTAGTTTGCTGTTGGCTGTTCCCCAAAATAACAATGCCCATACTATCCCCTCATTAAAAATGGGAAAATATATTTCTTCAATATGCTCATTTTGGATAAATTTAGGTTAGAGATCTAGCCCATAGATTAAGGCTATATACTACACTCCATTACTTATTAAATTCACAAGCCTTATTAGTAAGCTAGCTTTGAAGAAAGATATTAGAACTTAGAATGTTCTTATAATTTTTGTGGTTAACTATATCCAGACTTGTTTGTAAAGGTCTTTAATTTTGTGGTATATGGAGAAAGAGTGACAACTGAAGGGACTCTAGCCAGCCCGAGCATGTCAAATATGGCTCTGGCAGGCCTTGCCCTTCTCCCAGATTCCCATCATCTTGCTAAAACACCATTAGATCACATTCCCAAAGCTAGCCAACAAGGTCTATTCCCTTATTTGGTCATTTGCTCCTCCTGAGGCTGACTACCAAGGTCTAGGTACCAAAATATTGCAGTCCAGCAATCACCGCCCGCCCCCCTTTGACTCACCTAACATACGTAATTAAAAGTAAACACCTCATCCTAGCTCGGGGTTTCCCCTTTACCTTTATAAACATCATTTGCCTTTGTGCCACATCTGTCTCCTCTCTATCCAGAGGCAGTCCTTTGTCCTGGGGTCCTGAGTCCGTATGGATCCCTTCACACGCAGTACTATAAATGAATGATTTTTATAGATCATATACATATATGTTTATATGTATATAGCTATAATCACGACTAATAGTCAATTTTAAGACTTGACCTACTTCAAGAGCTTGGAACATCTTCCTCAGCCACCAAGATCAATACAAGATAAATACAAGCTTGTTCAAATTTAATCTGAGTGCTACACAATTTGAAATTTGACATTAAAATATTTATTATACATTTGGTAGGAAACATTTTGAGGACTCTGCTTATTTATGTGTTTACACAGATGGTCATTTTTCTCACATACTCCATGTTCCACTCATTTTCTTCAGTCTCACAGTTTTCTCTTTCTGAGAAGCTACAGTCTTCATAGATACACCGTTTCTGCCTAACGAACCAGGAAGAAGAGAAGCGTGCAGCAGCTCTGGGATGTAGCTCAGCAGTAGAGACCCTGTATAAAGCCCTGGGTTGATCCCATTACCAAACTCACCAAAACAGTGAAGGTGAGTGATCCTAAATTCTTTGCCACCAGCAAACATTCAACTTGCATAAACTTTTAAAGAGGTGCCAAATATTTTTTTTACTAAAAAGGAAAGACAATGAAGGTTTCTAAGAAATCCAGTCAGTCTAAGAATTCTTTCTTGCAAGCCTAATATACTGTTATCCAGAATGGAACACTTACATACTAAGAGGGGGGAAAAGGTTTTTGTTTGTTTTTTTGTTTTGTTTTGTTTTGTTTGTTTGTTTTTTTAGCACAGTCACCTTGAAAAGCTTAGGGAGATTCAGCTTGATTATGGAACACCTCCAGCAAGCTGTACAGTCATGAAACACATTAGTAATTCTGCAGGAAACTCAAGATTATTCACACCAAGTCCTTCAGTGACACAGCCTCAACTCAGTTCAGGGCAGACTTTACTATCAAAAGGATTTCGGAAAGACTCCAGCTTTTAATATACTAATTTGAAATGAAGTCTTTAAAGTGTGTTAAATAACTATGCATGAGCACGTAAAATATTTTTCCTTCCACAAAAATCAAACAGAAGTACAAATAAATTGTATATAAGCTTAAAATTGTAACAATTTATTTCAGGAGGTAAATGCGTTGACCCGTGAAACCAAATTGACCTCATAGTCTTCCTCTAGAACGTGCTAGCTTCATGGATTAAAAATGCTATTTCTTGGACTGATAAAAAAAATTCAGGCAAGACCAAAGTTTGAAGCTTGAACTTTCCTAGAGACTCCAGAGGGCTGGGAGCTGGCCAATTGTTAGTCTCAAATAGGGGACGAGACCAAACCGGATCCATTCGCCTGCTGTTTTCTTGCCAGCACACGGGGTAGACAAAATAAAATGTCTCAGGACAACTCTAGTATAGTTCTAGTATAATTCTTGCTTGGGCCATGCAAAGGAGGCTCTCACTCGCAAGGGGGAACGGCTGGGAAGAAAGAACACAGAGGCAAGCCCGTAAGAGTTTGGTGAAAAGCAGGCTGAGCCGCGGGCCTCCTCACCCGACCATAGGGCTGTGACCGAGCGTGGGCAGAGCCGCCTACATCTCTGGACTGAGGCCAATCTCCCGCAGCATCAGGACGGAAGCTGCTGTAGCGGGGTCTGCAGAGCGCTAATCCGATTTTCGGTTCGTGTTCCGGGGGTCGGCAGCCAGGGACGCAACCGGAGCCCGGGAAGGCGGCGGGGGCGGGACCAGTAAGCCTCGACAGCCCACCCCTTCCAGCGCGGGGTGGGACCCTCTCGGCTTTCCGTCCAATCCCGTTCCCCGACGCGCACAGGGCGGGACCCTCGCGGCTTTCCGTCCTAGTCCGGCTTCTGGGCAACCCAGGGCTGGAAGGCCGACAGGGCTGGTGGCTGGACGCAGAGGGCAAAGCGGGTGCGGGAGGTGAGGATTCTGGGGCCGGCTGCTCCCACACGGCGAGGGGTCGAGGGGTATTGCAGTAACGCAGAGCCGAGCAGAGTGTAGTCGGGCTGTGTGCCGAGGCGCCCGGTCTGGCGCGGGCGTGGTGTCCCCCAAGCATCTTGCCCTTCTGGTTTGGGGCGCCCCCCATTTGCGCCGGCCTTGCTAGAGTGTCGGGGTGCTTGACCGATTGGTTGGTTTTGCGTGTGCATGCTTTTTGGTTTTTCTCCCCTTGTCCTCATCCTCGGTGAGAAGCTGCCCTTGTTTTGGTGGGAGGAGTTTCTGAACTTTATTGCTTTCTGCTGCAGCCGCTCTGCGGGCACCGGAAGGTTTCCTGTGCCCCTTAGGTCCATCTAATCGTCTGCCTGGTACATAGCTAGCTCTATAGTGATTTAAACTTGAGGTCTAGCAGATGTCCGTTCTCTGTGTGTTTCCAGCTTCTTCACTACCCTTTTCTCCTTTCCTGATCTTTACTGAGCCCATTTCTTCCTTCCCACAGTCACCAGGCTTGGCCAGTTCAGGTTCCCTGTGGTTTCCAATCAGAATTGTTCAAGCAGGCTCCTGGAAGTCCTGAGCACTTCATCTTGGTTTACTGGTATGTGACTCTATTTGTTTACTTCCTGGTTATCTTTTTCCACCTCTCTCGCGTTCACCGTCACCTTGCTTTCAGAAAACCCGTTGTCGTTGTTTTCTTAACGTTATTGGAATCATTTAACTTAGTTTATATGGTTGGAAACTTAAGACAACTCTTAAAGAATCTGTAATCTGCTTAACCTTGCAGGGGCTAAGCACTACAGCAGGCATAGAATTAGTACTCTTGTTGTCTGCTTTGTGGGGTCTATTAAGTGACAAGGAAGTGTAATGAGAATAGCTTGCCTGGCATGCTTGCATTAGTTTCCTATTGCTGTTAGAGCAGACAGTGACGAGTTTGGCGGTTAAAGGAGCACAGACTTTGAGTTTCTGTAGATCTGAAGTCTGAAAGAGCTTGGCTGCTTACCCTGCGTGAAAGCGCAAAAGGAGAGATGAGGATTTCTGTTACGAGTAACTTTCTGAAGTTTTTAGGGGGAGAATCCTTTTTCAGATTCATTCAAGTTGGCAGAATTTAACTCTTGGACATTTGCATTAGGATTAAGGTTCCCATTTCCTGTCAGTCCTGTTTGTTTCTGAGTTCATTAAGGACATGGATATAGACACAGGTGTGGCAGCATACCTGCCTCAAGGACTCAAATGATTAGGTCAGGTCCTCTCTATTTTAAGCTTTTTTTTTTTTTTTTTTGTAGATGAAACTCATTTGTAATCATAGATGTAATGATGTTCTATCGTAATGACAAGTTCTGGGGACTAAGAAGGGTAGGTAGGAGTTTAGGTCATCATAACAATTCTGCTCATTGTAGTCCATAATATAGTTGTTTCAGGATGAGTTGTTTTTATGGTATGCTTTTTATGGCATTAAAAAAAAGTCTGATGACTAATCGTATGGTTATACATTCAAAGATAAAGAGATTCAATTACAGTTACTTGCCTAGAGATGGGTGGGTGATGGTGGCATATAACTTTATCCCCAGCACCAGGGAGTCAGAGGCAGGCAGATCCATGTGACTTCAGGCAAGCCTGGTTTACAGTAGTTAGTTCCAGGCCTGCCTGGGGTATATAGTGATATTCTGTCTCAAAAAAAGAGACAAATTTCAAAGCTCGGTGAGATGTCTCATTGGATATTGGCACCTGCAGGCAAGCCAAATGACTCAAGTGTGGTCCCCAGAACCCATGCAGTGGAAAAAAGAGAATGAACTCTGGCGAGCTGGCCTTTGACTTTCCCATGTGTGCTATGGCTCAAATAAATGATCCTGTCTTTTTTAGTCACTTGCCTAGGAGAAAATAATGGTAGAGTCTATATTTGGGACCAAGAACTACATTTCTGTTAGGTCTGAAATGGTTTAATCAATATTCAAATGGGATGTAAGAGGAACTGTTATAAAGGTTTTATGCAGTATCTTGATTATATTACTGGAATAGTCTGACCTGTGTAACAAAGCCAGCAATACAATGGTATTAGAACACAAGAGGGCCTTGTTGTTAGACTCTAGTCTCTATTATCTACCCAGTCTGCTCTTAAACCCCTGAGCTGACGCAGTCCTGTCACTACTGCAGCTAGGTACGTGCCACCGTGCCCAGCACTGGGCCTTGTCCTCTCTCTCTCTTTTCCTTTCCTTTCTCATCTAGAAGTAGGGCCAGAAATGGCTTCTGTAAATGGGTCCAAGGTGCTTGTTGTGGTTGGCAGCCAGCTGGGTGAGCACTGAGAAGGAGATAAAGAGTGAGGATACATCATGCATCTGAGGACTACGATCAGGAGGTGGCACATGCAGAGGACAGGAGAAATATAGACAGGTCACTATATATGCAGCAAAAATTCTAGATTTGGTTAAGAATAGGAGAAAAAGGTATTAGTCAAAAATAATTTTCCATACATTTGTTTTTGATATTGTTAACTTTTATAACATATGAATAGTATATTTTATTTAATTTTGCTATTTTAACATAGGATATGAAAGGACAGGAAGTTTTCTTTCAGTATCAATTCTTAGTTACTGGCTTTATATGGAATTTATAAATGATTCTTTCAGAAATCTTATTTTTTATTCAATACCAATATAGCCTATTCATATATGTTCTTAGTTTTATTTTGATGAAAATTGCCACAAATGTAGAAAATATTCAAGTTTGGTTTATGATACTCAAAGCCAGTGTGATTAGGGTCCATGCCATCAGCACAATGTTAAGTGACATCAGCCTGTCACATGAAATCCAGTGGCCCATTGTTCCACACCTCTGCATATGCTTTTCAGAGTTTCTCAGACCATAGTCTTGTTCTATACGTCTAACCCTACCCACTCAGCAAGACTCTCTGCAGGTTCCCTAATGCCCTGTAATATCGCCTCATCAGCGGGGAGATTATAACCTAACACATCTGCATTTGGTACCAAGTATGACCTCTTAAATATGACTAAACCCGAGATGCTTGTTTTCATATGTGAAGTGGCAGAAAATGTTACCTCTAGAGGACAGTGTGAAAGTTAAGAGTAAGCGTGTTTTCTGTAACACCATACTACCTGGTGTCTGGTGGTCACAGCCACTGGTCTTTCTGATGACACTTTGTTCCTGGTATGCTAAGTTCACATTCTTAATATTAAAGTTGATTTTCCTTATCTGACAAGTGTACAAATAGTTAATGGATTTCAAGTTGTGACTGATGTCTCCCTTTTCCTTTTTCTTCTTCTTCTTTTTAGTTTTCTTATTGTGTCTATACCATGGAAAATCAATTGGCTAAATCAATTGAAGAACGAACATTTCAGTACCAGGACTCTCTTCCATCATTGCCTGTTCCTTCACTTGAGGATTCATTAAAAAAATACCTTGAATCAGGTACGTTCATAATCTTCTAGTCTAGATTAATATTGTTAGTAACATAGGAGTAATGTTGATCAGGGTCTCATTGCTGAGGCCTCTAGGCTCATCCTTAAAACATGCAAAGCTTTTTAAAAGTTGTTTTCAGATAGTATTAGTAGGCCTGCAGTGTAAATGTAAGTCCTGTGTCTCCATCTCCTTGTACAAGCCCCACATAGGGCAAAGATTTTGAAATAGTTTTGAAGTTTGTTCTCTAACATCTGTCCCGAGAATATGTACAATCCGTTATATCCAAATTTCCCTCACATTCTCATTATCTATGTATAAAATCACCACTTTAAATCAGCAGCTGCCTGACTTTAATAAATCTTTATCTTAGTTAGTTCACCGGGCCATTCAGGGTCTAGAGCAGTGGTCCTCCCCCTTCCTGATGCTACAGTCCTGATGCTATGTTCCTCATGTGATGACCCACAGCCATAAAATTCTTTTTGTTCTTACTTCACAACTGTAAATTTGCACTGTTTTGGATCATAATGTAAATATCTGTGTTTTTCAATGGTCTTAGGCGACCTCTGGAAAAGGGCTGGCCATTCGACCCCCTAAGGGTTGCAACTTACAGGTTGAGAACTGCTGGTTTCAAGCCATATAGTTGTTCATAAATGAGCGTGTCATTTCACTTTGGTATATATTTGCTGCATTTCCTCCTTCTTTTTCATTGCTTAATTTTTTTCTTTGTATTTATAATTTGTTCCTAAACACTTGACTGGTTGAGTATTCTTGGATACATACAGTTAAACATAAAATACTGAATCAGTTGTCCTTCCTCTTAAAAACTTGCTTTGTGGAGCTCTCTTCCCCTTCCCCTCCTCTCTGCCCCTTCTCCTCCCCTTCTTCCCTCTTTTCTTAGGAGGATAGACTTGTTTGCACTTGCTACCCAGTGCTGTGCAGAGCATCTCCTCTGCCAACGTTCTGACAGTTCTCTTCACATCTCCCCAATGTACTTTTCTTAGTATACTTTCTTACATTGCTTCCTCCTGCCTGTGAAAGAATATTTGAGAAGGCAAAAAAGAGCTAAATGTTTATACTTGATTCCCCCCCCC